TCCATGCATTCATCAACAAGTTACCTTAAGCTCTGGTTAATTTAATAAAATTACATTCAAGGAAACAAAATTTTGAGTTCATATGATTACCCATGTGCCATGAAATGCAAGAAAAGTCCAAGTTTACAAGTTGATTCAAGGAATTTTGACCTAAAAAGTCAACATTTAAAGTCAAAGTTCAAAAGATCACAACTCCTTCAATTCTCAATGTTTTTGAATGCTTATTTTTTCATATGAATCATCTCAACATTCTCTTCAACTTCAATTAACATTATAAGACTCAATTATACTTGTAGGACCATCAAAAGTTTGAAGACATTATAGGTCATTTGTGGACTTAGTGAAATTTTGCCTATTTTCAAGTGACTTTTTCTCAACTTTTAAGAATCAAAACTTCTTCAATTTTCAACATTTGGATCTCATTCTTTTTGCACATTATCATTTGTGATACCCTTTACAATATTTCTTCAACGGTCAAAGTCATATTGTGCTTGGAAGGAAATGGAATTCATTGATACATTATAGGTCATTTTCAGCATTTGGACTTAGAATATTTCAAGTTTGGTTTGCCATATTTTTGTGCCAACTTCAACATGACATAACTTTTTTCTCAATCATCCAAATGAAACCTTTCTTGGCATATTGTGATCTTTGTTATAATGTTAACCAATTGCAAAAATAATGGAATCAAAAGGCCTCATGTACAAGATGTTTCATTGCGTTGAACATGGTTACTTAGAATTGAAGTTTTCACCATGATCATAATTTTCACCTCAACCAAAACTTATTTACAAGCCAAATTACCATGTGATTTTCACTTTAATCATATTAAGGGATGTTTACCAAGTGAAAACAACTCAGAATGGCCAAGTTTAGCTGCGTTTTGAGTGACCTCTTGTGCAAGTTTGATCACACTTTTGGTGTTGATGATTTCACACGAATTCTGATCAAAAATCCATATGTGTGAGCTCATTCATCATCTCCTATAAGTAAAGAGCCTTTCTACCTTCATTTCTAAGCTTTTGATAGCCAGAAAACCCCTGTTTCACTCTCAAATTTTTCAAAAAATTGAGCTATCGTGTTTTAATTTCTAGCTTGTTTCAACTCAATTTCTTGATTCAGTTAGCTCCATTGGAATCCTCTGAAGCTTCTGCAAAAATAATGGAATCAAAAGGCCTCATGTACAAGATGTTTCATTGCGTCGAACATGGTTACTTATAATTGAAGTTTTCACCATGATCATAATTTTTACCTCAACCAAAACTTATTTACAAGCCAAATTACCATGTGATTTGCACTTTAATCATATTAAGGGATGTTTACCAAGTGAAAACAACTCAGAATGGCCAAGTTTAGCTGCGTTTTGAGTGACCTCGTGTGCAAGTTTGATCACACTTTTGGTGTTGATGATTTCACACGAATTCTGATCAAAAATCCATATGTGTGAGCTCATTCATCATCTCCTATAAGTAGAGAGCCTTTCTACCTTCATTTCTAAGCTTTTGATAGCCAGAAAACCCATGTTTCACTCTCAAATTTTTCAAAAAATTGAGCTATCGTGTTTTAATTTCTAGCTTGTTTCAACTCAATTTCTTGATTCAGTTAGCTCCATCGGAATCCTCTGAAGCTTCTGCAACAATTCCCAAGCTCTAAGAGCCTCTGAGTCACTCCAACCAAATCTAGTTTTAGAGCTCCTCCGATCGTTTTTGGACAAGGTAGTTTGAGGCTCCATTTTTAATCAAACAAGTTACCACAATGTAGTCATTTACCTTCTAATTATTTCCCTTGACCTTTGCCTTCTGATTGTTTCTCCTAACCTAGCTGGCTTAGGATTTTATGCACTTTTATCTTTATGCTCTTTATTTGATGCTTATCATTTCATATCATATTTGTATTTATGCCTTTTTCTCTTTGTTCACTTGGACTTTCTTTTTCTTTTTTAAGACATTAATAAAGGATTAAACCATTAAAAGACTCTTAATATTTCCTTGGACTATTTGGTGACTATCTTTTTCTTATGGACGTATGGACTTAGAATTAGGTTCTTTGCCCTATGCCTTGGAGTTGTGACTTGAGACCTTGGATCTTATCTAGTACTTTGACCTTGAGAGACCTCTTGTGAAGACTTGGCTTAGATACTTGGTTTTCATCTGATGCTTGTTTATCATTGCTTATCTTGTTGCTTGAGTCCAAAGGATGGGATAGCTTGGTATCTTGGTTAGATATTTCCTTCCTTATCTTTTATTTTATGCTTTAAGATAGCCTTTTCATCTCCTACCCTTCTTCAATTTTCAAAATCTTCTCCCTTTTTCAAAACCTTCTTTTTTCAAACTAGAACCATTTTCTTAATAAACCTTGACTTTGTCACGTGCATTTTCAAACTCATTTTCTTAATAAATGCTAATCAATCTTAAGCATATCAAAACTCATTTTCTTAATAAACTCATTTTCATAAGAGTTAAAAATTACTTAACTCATTCAAACCATTTTGTGCCTTTTATGCACTGTTCCTTTTAACCTTTTCATAAGTTTTAGACATGAGTCATTTCCATAGTTGAGATGTAATTCTCCTATCTCTATAGTTGTATTTAGTGTTAATTCTTTTCCACTTGAGAGAGCTAGTGGTATACTTGTTGATTTTAATCCAAGTTGGAGCCTTTCTCAATAGTGATGCAAAGGTACATTTTCATACACTTTTAGGTGACTAGTTAAGTATTCTCCTTAAAATGACAACTTGTCTTCCCATTTAAAATCAATCAAAACAAATTTCTTTTGTATTTTTACCCCGAACTACGACGTTTTGATCCTCCATTTCACTTTGTGGATACGTAGGCACGAGACTCAGGAAGTCTTGTTAAACACAAAATCTTAAAAAGTACTTCTCTTCTCACATCCACCATCTTTTTCAAACAACACCTTTTTAATTCAAGCACTAGATTTTCAAGAGGTTCCTATAGAGTACTATAGACGTTTTGGGTGCTAACACCTTCCTTTTGCATAACCAACCCCCTTACCCTTGACTATATTTTTGTTAGTTTTTTTTAAAACTTCTTTGGGTTTTGTTCATTATTTTCCCCATTCCTTTGGAAAAATAAAAATGCGGTGACAACTCTTCCTTTATGAGTTAAGTTAATTTGCTGCTAGCGACGAGTAGGTACTAGGAAGAGTTTATGGTATGAAATTTCTCGACCTATAGCGAAAAAAATCATTAGAGAAGAATGCTGCTAGCAGAGGGTGGAGAAGTCGTTTGGTTATCAAAATTATGTATAGAAAGAAGATTCGTCTTACCGGTAAATGCTTTATACTAAACCTTGTTCTCTATCTGGTAGCACGCAGACAATAAATAACTAGGACAAATTTATTGCAACTCTTCCTAATCCGAGTTTAAGATGGAATAAGACCTAGCTTAATCTCAAATTTTCCCGCTACATTAAGGTCGCGTAATAACTAATGATTAATACTTGAGGATGGTCGACGAAACTTGGGTGGACGACTCTTCTAGTTCCAATATTTTAGTTGACCTCAAATCTGCATCGTTGTGGCTGTGAGGCCTTGTTCTCTTTTGTAGAGAGAAACTTCATAGCTTTGTCTTTTAGAAAAGGCGTCCCATTGTGCATGGCTAATATTAGTAATAACCATCTGTCATATTGGTTGTCGGTCAATTGGGGGTAGCGGCAAGTTTAGTGCATTCGAATAGGTTCTTTTTGATGCCATTGATGATAACCTCTCGAAAAGTATAGTGATGGGGGGTATGCTTGTCGTTTACCTATGTGTTTTCTCTTCAAATGGCTTCAACGGGTCCTTACTATCGTGTTAGTGAGTGGTAAGATTAATATATGCCAAACAGAGTCGGCCTTTCTTGTCGATGGGTATTATGCGTTCATATTCTCAGATACCGTCCATCTCGAGTTATGCCGAGCTATCAGGATTTCTTTTGCCGCTGGGGTCATGGTTTTGAGGAAATTGTATTGGAGATTTTGTTGACCCTTTCATGACGTTAGGCATTCCGACTTCCTTTCACCTTGTGTTTGTGTGGATGTAAGTAAATTCAACTACGGAAACTCCCCTTTGATCGGTGATTCTTTGCAGCCTTATTGATGCCAGAAATTGGAAGGGTGTCAAGTTGAAATGACACACAGAGGCTTTAAACATAGATCATTATCCCCTATCTTGGTGTTTCGTTAAAGGAAACTAACTTTCCCATCCGATAAGATTTGATCGTGAAAATTCACGAGAACCAATAGTCAATTCTCATAGAGGGTGTCACTATTTCGGATCGAAACTAGGATTATGATTGAATTATGAGGTTTGACTCTTGATGTGGTGTTACAAGTCTGCGATGTAGTGGATCCCAAGGATGAACCTGCAAGATTAGCAATTCAACGTCCAAGTTTATAATGAGTCCAAAAAAGAGTAGAGTGAAGTATGAAAAGTGTAAATATACATTAGATCTTACTCATGTGAGGGTATTTATATCTTTGGACTGATTTTGTTGTCTAAACTTCTTAAGAGTCTTAAATAAACTTTTAATAATTTTTCTTAAATAAGTTTTTTTTATTAGGCATAGTCGAGATAATTCAATATATTTTAATTATTAATTTATAGGATTTGAAATATGTATTTCTATAAATACTTTCTAAATTTTAATAATTTTATTATATCCAACTCTAAAATCCAACTCACATAAAACTTTTAATAGTTAAAAAAAAACAATATGTAAAAAATAAATGGAGTTAAATTCAAATAAAGTACAAACAAACTATTAACATTTCTTAAACCTTACTAGATTAACATTTCTTAAACCGAGATTTTATCATCACATAACTAAAACATAATTTATTAATTAAATTACCAAGATATAAGCTAACCTTATTATATATTTCTCCCCACCATTTTAATGAGAAAAAGGGCAAAGGAAAAACAGAAAACTAGACAAGAGAAAGGACTATTTGTCCGACCTTAGACCTAAAAAATATACAATACAACATTATAAAAACATATTAACAAGCCAATTGATCCCTAAAAGAAGATATTTCCTCAAAGATGGGAAGTCTTCTTGATCTAATTGGACTCCACACATTAAGCAACCCATCAATTCCCTTCACAAGATCATCATCAAGCCCTAAATCATCCATAAACTTAGGTTGTGGCAAGTTTGCATTCAACTCTATAAGCAATTCTTCAGCTCTATTTTGAGACTTGATTTCATCAGAACCTTGAAGTTTTCCTTGCAAAACTTGTTCAAGAACTAAATAAGCTTCTTCATATCGAGATTGTCTCATTAAGCATAAGGTCAAATTTAAAGCCTTGTTGGCATCAGCATCTATCATTTGGGCTTTCTTGAAAACTACCTCAGCCATCATGTAGTTTGTCTTTTGCATGTAGGCCCAGCCCAAATTTCCCTATAGGATTAATACATGTTTTAAGGAGTCAATAATCTAAGCCAAAAAGAAAAGATTGCAAAATTAGATTTAAAAAAAAGTGAATGATTTAAGTACCAATAATCTGGCCGTTTCTTGCTTGATTGAAACTTGGAACTTCTTGCCATGAGAACGGGCAGTCTTTGTAGTCCTTCCATTAAAGGCCTCTCCTTGATAGATAAGTCTTAGCTTTCTTTTCAATAAGTCAATTTGCTCCTCAACTCTTCCACATTTCTGTTTAATTACCACAAAAACTATATTAGATTCATTCATCATGAGTTATTTAATTAACAAACTAATCCTTACTAAAACTCGACAATTGAGATTAAACAATATTATTACTGATATTACTACGAGTTTACACGGTTAAAATCAATAAACTTGCCGATTTTATTCAAAAATAATATTGCAAGAGAGTTATCACAAAACTGAAACTTAATATGGTAAACCTTCTTCACTCCCACTGCAGTGAATAACATTTCATAATGAGTATGAAAAGACCACGGGGACTAAAGCTATTCAATGAAATTTCATATACTTTCAAACAAAAATAACTAATTTCTGGAGATAAAGGGTGTGATGCCTACGTTATAAAAGTTTCATCAATTTTTTAGCATACTTACAACATGTAAGGTACATATATCAGTGACTAGTAAAACAATTTTACAACACTAATCACAGTATAATTAGATCGATGGCAATTTATACTCATTTAAAATCCAAACATAAATCTGTTCTAAAGATATTTATCATCAAATTATAAAAGGCTTGATAGTCAAGAATCCATATTACACAAAACAGACAATAAAAAATGGGACGAACTTGATGAACTAAAACCACACTTAATGTGTATTAACAAAAATTACACTTATGAGTAAAAATCACTCTGATATTAAATTGTGTCAGACCATAAATTTCTTGTTTGTGCTCTGATAAATTACTCTAACACGTAATCAGTATTTTGTGAGTATGTACTCTAATAAATCACTATGATATATATTAACTAAATTTATTATTTGTGTCACCCATTCGTGTCTTATCAATATTCTGTTATATGTTTGTGTTCTGATAAATCACTAGAACACATTAACTAAAGTTATTAGTTGTGTCAGATCACCGAATCTTTTCTGTGTTGTATTCCTGTAAATCAGAGGTAATTTACTTACTCTACATAAAGGATTGTAGATATGAAACATTATATAAAAATACCTTGTAAAGATCTAAAAGAACATTATCAAGGGATTCTTGAGAATGTTTGGAGCAAAGACCTCTAAAAGATTTGATGGCTTCAATAGCTTCTTCAGTTCTATCTAATTGCTTCATCACAACAGCCATATCCTTCAAAGCACTATCCACTTTGTCTCCGACATTAATCGCCTTCCAAAAGTACACTATAGCTGCTTCTGGATCTTTATCCACCAACTGAATTCATACACATTCATATCAGTATTCAATATTAAACCTTAAATCTGCATAATAATTACTTCAAATTTTCATCATGTAATGAACCAAAGAATTTTAAAAAATAGAAATGAAAATCTTAAAGAAAAAAAGATTCTGTGAATCTGTCTGATTCTCTGAATCTTAAAAAAAGACCATAGGATTGAGTTATAGTTACTATGCCACAGTAAAATTTGGTAAAAGTAAATCTGAAAAGTTGAAAATGTCTTGCACTTAAAGATAAAGTCAATAATTAAAAATAAAGTGTAATAAACAAATAATCACTAAAATGCAAGATAGAATTAAGAGAAAATGGTGCAATTTTCAGAGACAAAATGATGCAGATAATTTCAATTATGCAGGAACAATAAAAATCAAAAGTGAAATTTTCAAAAGGGTACAGATACCATACCTGAGCATGTTTGGCTTTGACATAAGGACTATCACCAAAAGGAACCTTATGGATAACATGATAAAGATCATCTTTCTTTCCTTTAGAATTTTTCTTCAAGACACTAACTCCTTCCATTTTCTCTCACTAAAGGTAGATATTCTTTGTTTGGAAGGCACATGCACCTTGTGATGAAGATGGGAAAGATTCAGTGAAGAAAATGAGGGGTCTACTCTCATAAAGAAAAGCTTAGGACATAGGAAGATAATTTATACAAGGAACTTGCAACGCTAACCACTATGAATGTGGATGGAATTGAGGCTATATTCTTTATAACATCACGTTACCAATGCTAATTGATTTTTGACACGTGGCATTTTTTTGTTTTTTATTTTGGTTTTTCGTTCTATTGTTTGAGTTCTTTAATAATAATAATAATAATAATAATAATAATAATAATAATAATAATAATAATAATAATAATAATAATGTATTTAGTCCATATATAATTCAAATACATTGTCTTTGAATAATGTATGCTCCCTCTCAAATAGAAGTTTTTCCATCCAAATTTACTTGCATTGTCGTTGGATGGTCTCAACGAAACACGTCACCTGAAAACCCTTGTCAGGAAGACTTTCGATACAAGGAGTCCTAGTCGAACCAGACTCTGATACCACTGTTGGATCATGAGGAGGTCCGAGGATCAACACATCGGGCTTTTTAGGAGTAACTACATAAGTGAGAGAGACACCACATATTAACCAAAAATCTTAAGACATTGGTCTATTGGTCTTCTCACTTATAAAGTGTTCAACATTCACTTTTTCATCTGATGTGAGACTCACACTCACACTTAATATACCAACAAATTCATATCTTCTATAGGACTTCCATTAAAAAATTTTAAGCACTCTAACATTGTCTTCTCGAAGTAAAAAAAAAGAAGTAAGTGTAAGTTTCTTTAATCCATCTGATAGTGTCTCATAATCGATCTGTCACACATAAAATCAAATTGATTATTACTAACTTAAGAAATATAAAAATTTTAAATAAATTTTAAATTTATTTTAAAAATTCAAAAATAAAACAACAAATATAAAAGAATTTAACTGATATATACTGACAGTGTAAAGATTTTTTACACTGTCAGTTAATCACAACCGTTGATTTTTTTAGAAAAGTTTAACTTTAATTTTAATTACTTGTAAAATAAAACTTTTTGAATCTTACACTTTCTAATCACTTATAAGTAAATTTGAGTTTTTTTTAGTTCATGTAACAATTGATGTATGTATGATATAAATTTTGGATTATTTAATGGTAGATAAGATTAAATTAGGGATATTTTTTATTAATTGTTATACACCGTTAGTGTAAAAAGTTTTATACTGTCAATGCATTATAATCATTCATTAGTATTATTTTACAAGTAATTAAAATTAAAGTTAAACTTTTCTAAAAAAATCAACGGTTGTGATTAACTGACAGTGTAAAAAATCTTTACACTGTCAGTATATATCAGTTAAATTCTTTTATATTTGTTGTTTTATTTTTGAATTTTTAAAATAAATTTAAAATATATTTAAATTTTTTATATTTCTTAAGTTAGTAATAATCAATTTGATTTTATGTGTGACAGATCGATTATGAGACACTATCAGATGGATTAAAGAAACTTACACTTACTTCTTTTTTTTTACTTCGAGAAGACAATGTTAGAGTGCTTAAAATTTTTTAATGGAAGTCCTATAGAAGATATGAATTTGTTGGTATATTAAGTGTGAGTGTGAGTCTCACATCAGATGAAAAAGTGAATGTTGAACACTTTATAAGTGAGAAGACCAATAGACCAATGTCTTAAGATTTTTGGTTAATATGTGGTGTCTCTCTCACTTATGTAGTTACTCCTAAAAAGCCCGATGTGTTGATCCTCGGACCTCCTCATGATCCAACAGTGGTATCAGAGTCTGGTTCGACTAGGACTCCTTGTATCGAAAGTCTTCCTGACAAGGGTTTTCAGGTGACGTGTTTCGTTGAGACCATCCAACGGCAATGCAAGTAAATGTGGATGGAAAAACTTCTATTTGAGGGGGAGCATACCCATAAAAATGGATTGACTCACACTTGAGGGGGAGATTCTCAGTATATCAAGTGTGAGTATGAGTCCCACGTCGGATGAAATAGTGAATGTTGAACACTTTATAAGTAAGAAGACTCATAGATCCAATGCCTAAGATTTTGAGTTAATATGTGATGTCTCTCTCACTAGTTGTGTGGTTGCTCCTAAAGTCCGATGTGATGATCCACTGACCCCTTCATTACCCAACACAATTAAAATTATTTTATTTGAACTATCTAATATATGTATAAGAGGGTATCGACTAGTGTGCAGAAACTCCATTGTGTCTTGGTTCTAGAAATATTGTTAAATCTTAACCCATGCATGAATTTCTTCATCACTTGTATCTATACAAATGGAAACTCGTGTGCAGATTCTCTAACAAATTTTTGTTTATACATTAGTAGTTATACCTTTTAGAACCAATTGCCTGCTTCTTTGTGTAAGAACTTGATTAGGAACAAACTTAGCATGTCATGTTATATTTTTTTTTTCATTAAGTTGAATTAGTTATTGGTTTGTTATAGTTTTTTGTTTCTTTATTTTTTTTTCAATAAAGTTAGCTAGCAGCCTTGGCTACTTTTCTTTGCCAAAAAAAAAATGCAGAAACAAGATGGAGAGATGGACGATATCTAGTAAGATTAGGATTGCACCAATATTCAACTCTAAACTCATATCTTTTTACTTAAATTTTTAATATACTCACGAAATATATCCAAGAGATATCACTAAGATATATGTTTTTTAGAGATAATATAGTCATACTTGGAGAGTCGAAGAAAGATTTAAATGAGAGGTTAGAGACTTAAAGACGAATCTTAGAAATTTATGACTTTTACCTAAACAGAAGTAAGAAAGAATAGATGGAATGTAAGTTTAGTAAAAGGAGAAATTATTTTTACCTAGAGGTGAAAATTTGAGATTATATCATACCATAAGTTACGTAGTTTAATTATTTTGAGTCGTTAATACAAAACAATGGATAAATAGAAGGGGATATAAATCATTGATATCAATTTTGGTGGTTGAAATCAGGGGTGTCAAACAGGCGTGTCCGCCCCCGTTCAAACCCGTCCTGCAAAATCCCGCAAAGAACGGGGCGGCTGGATGGGAAAAGTTGAGGATGCGGACCTAAAATCTTGACCAGCCCCGCATTAAAAGTGAGAGCGAGAACAGGGCAGGTCTGCGGTCTCTACACATTTTAAGTCTAAAAATACAAAAAAAATTGTTATAGTGTGTGTATGTGCCCTCAAAAGTGCACAAAAAACGGGATGGGATAGGGTCGGGGCATAAATATTTGACCCACCCCGCACTAAAGTGTGAAAAAACGGTCATGACCAATGGATCGGACTCATTCTGCCACCCCTAGTTGAAACAGAGGAGGTGCTTAGGGGTTTTACATGCCATAAAAGTATTGATCAAGTTAAAGATAATTTTTTATCTGACATTGGTAATCATGCGATGTTTTTCTAAACAAAATGTTAGGAATTAAAACAATGCAAAACTAGATCAGATAAAATTAGAAATGAAGATAATGTGTTGGATGTGGAGTAAAATAAGATGGGATAAAATTAGAAATGATAATATTTGAGAAAAAGTATCGAGGCAGCATCTATAGTAAAAGAAAATAGTGAAAAATAAATTTACGTCATTTAAACATGTAGATTAAAATAAGTGGAATCAAATAATTAGAAGTGCATAAAGAGTTAGAAAACTATAACTAAAATTATTATAAAATATCTCGAGATTAACAAATTAAATTAAAAAAATTATGACCCTTAATAAAATGCATATTTTGATCATGTAGCCAACTCGGCTTAATTGTTAAAATTTTAGATAAATTTCAATTTCGGTCTATTTATTTTATCTCATCACAAATATTTATTATATTTCAAATTGAAACAGTTTTGATCATCTTCTCATATTTTTGCACTTCAAAATAGTGATTTATTTATTTTTAAATGATATGTCACATGCGAAACATGACAAATTATCATATATGAATTTTTCGTGGTATTTTAAAGACAAAATATATAAATTACACCATATTTAAAAAATGGGCACATCCTCAATTTTCTATGTAAAAAGGTGAGAAAAGGGCCCCCCCGTAAATCTTTGTGAAATTTTAAAGCTAAAAAATATAAATTACATGTCATTAAAAAATAAAAATATCATCAATTTTGAGTACCAAATATTAGAGGAAAAATAAAAATATTTGAATTTAAAATAACAAGACTATTTCCATGAATAAGGTAAAATAAATTGATCGAAACTATAATTTAACTTTAATTTTTTTTTATATTTTGATCTTGATTTTAACAATATCTAAGTAATTGTTTATGTAAATATGAGAAATTAACCGTTGTTATTATTATTAAGTTTATATGCATTATTACTTTTATTCTTAGATATAAATATAAAAATGTAAACTAAATAAGCATAAATAGAACAAAGAATATACTTTTATTTATAAATTTGAAAATATAAGATATAAGAAAAACAAATAATTAAAAAATTGATGTAATTACTCTTAATTTTGAATCACATATATCAACTTTTTGTATAATATTCTAGAAAAATAAAAGTAAAATATTATTTTTGATTCCTTAACTATACTTCGAGATAATTTTGGTCCCTTAATTTTAAAAAGATTCATATTTATCCCTTAATTCTTCAAAATATTTTAAATCAGTCCTTTTTTATTTATATAACGATGAATTTATCGACTGATTTTTGAATTTTTTTCGCTAATAAGAGAAGAAAAAAAACTAATATGAAACATTTTTAAAAGTTAACGGACCAATATGAATCTTTTTAAAGTTAACTATCAAAATGAACCTTGAGATATAGTTAATAGAACAAAAAAAGGTATTTTGCCAAAAATAAATAATATATTTAACAATATGTTAATAAAAAAATTTATATAGTAAAAATGAGTCACACAATAAAAAAGTTGACTTCAAATTAAACTTTCAATTACAGTGTTATTCAATTCCTTTTTCAGTTGTATACTTAA